AATGTGAATTCCAGCAAGGTGTCTTCTTTTTTCACCACTTCCTTTTTGTTTTGTTTTAAGTACGAGATGTCAGAATTACAAGACTACATCTTCAGTGCTATTTATTCTGGGTGCCTAACTTGAGAAACTTTGAAGAGGGCTGATCTGAAAATGAGCCCGCACCAAGGTTCTACAAGTTGGGCACCCAAAAATGAAGACATCCAAAATTGTTACTCATTTTTAAAACATTTAGATCAGGTTATTATGCTTAATATAAGACAGTTACCAAGCTGCATTTGGCTGAAAGGTGCTGAGTTTTACATTTGCAAGATATTACTCTGATCATCAGAAGATGATGGGAAACTCTCAGTTAACCAAAGCAGCCAGGTGCCATTCCACGAATGGCCACCTTCTTACCACCACCTCAACAACTAGAATTTAGTATGCATTTCTGAAACTAGACCCTGAAACATGAAAGGTCCAGAACTACCGCCTTTAAAAAATTGCAGTGATTTTTATTTTAAATATGCACTGACTTTTAAGGAATCTGCACAACGGGTATTAAGCACCTGCACCATTTTTACTGGTGGGCCTACCTAGAACAAACAATTCATTCTGCAATAGTAAATTTTGAAAATGCCTCTTGATTCTTTTAATAAAAGTACTTAGGTTCCTCAGCAGAACATATCATAGACAGAGGTGCCCCACAGATTAAAGAAGCCAGACATGTGGAATGGGGCTAAAGTTACCCCATTAACTCCTCAAAAATCCTGTTGGATTTGAGTTTTCAAAAGTAGTAGTCCTGCCTTACAAAACTGGAGAAGCCTGTATACTTATCTGCGTTGGACAGTAGGGGAGGGGAGAAATAGAGACGACAACAAAAATGAGGTGAGGCTTGTTTCTTTCTTCTGTACCTTCTATTCCTTCTATTCAGTAGCAGCAGGCCAGACCTAAGACTATTGCATTGCTTAAAACGCAAATAACTGACAAGCATGTCTTTGCTGATCCACACTAGAATGGAGACCAGAGTGGATAGGAGGGTGGTGACAACTAGGCTGTTGGCAATGCAAGAGCTCTGCCTTAATTGGCTGTTTCTGCTCAGTTGATGAGACACTAAGAAAAATGTTACTACCTGGATAGGTTACTCAAAGACACAAAATTGGCATAAATTTCAGCATATAAGTGCTTTTAGTTGGACGGCAGGGCTGGTGTAGACTGTCTCTCGCTGTTCTGGTGAAGATGATTTTCATTAATCTTTATTAGCAAACAAAACGTACTCCAAAGAAACTGCATGAACAGAGATGCTCTAAAATTTTCATTGTTAAAAAAATGCAAACTGCATAGGGCACTGAGAGTGGAAGTTATAACGTCATTAATCTAATATATATTACACACAAACACACCTTTAACATAAGCATTGTCACAGTCCTGCAGAGAAGAAAACTCTTGATCTTGGGGGTATAATTATCTAGATTTGATTTGATTTTTTTTTTTAATTTGTTTTTAAATATCCTAGCCACCTGGTTCAAAAGTTTTGTGTTTTTAACAGCAATCGCCATTAACCTTGGACCAGAAGCTTCACTGTGTTTAATTAGTAAGGTAATGAAGCCAATCTTATTCTTTTTCTCAAGCACAAGAGGATAAATACAAGACACTGAAAGAGCAAACTAGATTCACTGCTACATGGTGGTTCTTATTTTGGAATGAGTTTAAATCCTGCAATGTAATATGTTTTGCAAAATAAGCCATTTTTCACCTTCTATATTATCTAAATTTCATAAATTAGAACACTATTTCTGAACATTTGGGCTGTAGAAAATTTGCAAACAAAAGGCTAAAAATGAACATAATGTTTTCATCCACAAATCTTCAATACTCCAAAAATTAAGCACACAACAGATCATTTAAAAAAAGAATAGCAGTCTGTGCTTGTTTTGTTAGCCAGCCAAGGTAGCACAGAAAATCCATCAACAATGGAGGTTGAGCTATTTTTAAAAAGCCCACCGCTTTTCCACAGTCCTAAAATAAATAAATAAATATATATATATATATATATATATATATATATATATATATATATATACATACACACACACACACACACACACGAACGATACCTCAAGCAACACACATGCTGTGAATCCCCACAAAAAGCTGCAACTTTGTTCTCTTTTCTGACACAGATGCCTTTGGAAAAGCTGGCAGACAAGGAAGGTCCTAACTGCTCAACAAACACAAATACTAGATGAAATGTGGAAGAGAATACATAAAAATAGATTTACAATATTGCTGGTGCTCTAATTTGATGATCCACAGACCTTTCAAAATAAATATGATTATATACATTTTCTTTTTCTTTGTCTAATTAAATTTTCAGAAAAAGTCTGTGGAGGTATGTCCTAGTAGTTGTACCCTTTTATAACATGATATACACAGGAAGCTTACAAGGTCAGATTTTTTAGGCAACTTTGTTTTTCTCCAGTCGATGTTTTTGCCATTATATGAAATTACAGGAGCAGATTTTAACAACAAAAAGGGGCCATCTCACTTGACAGCCACATGAGCTAAAAAGACCCAAGAAGTACACAGAAAGAAAATAAACTGGCTCAAAAAATCCCTTTTATGCATATAATAGAATTTTCCAGCCAACTGAGCTGTTGTGATTATAATAAGCTGAATACCACTGTCCCAGCTATCCTGCTCCTTCCAAAATACCTGATCTTGCTCGGCAGGGCTATGTAAATACAATCACTCATAACCCCCTTGTAAACACAAGGAAACAAAGCTGTATACAAGTGCCCTATCAATTAGCTACATGTCCTAGCTGGCTTGATTTCCACCACAAATTAATTTTTCTCTGTCCCTTCTCCCCCCACACCACCACCTTCAGTATGACTTTAAAATAATTAAGAGATGGCATTGTTTAAAATACAAAACCCAGGCAGTGGCACTGCATATTTAATGGGCACTCGGAACAAAGAACCACCACCAGCAGCAAGAACCTTGCGCCTGGTAGATTTCACTCGCGCGGTTCCTGAGAGCACATTCCAAAACAAACCCAACCCGATCTCATCCCCTCTGCCCTCGAAGAACCGGGGCAGGATCGCCTCCCGGTTTCCAATGGGAAACCATTTAACCAACGCATGGGGAAATCTCTTCCTCTTCCCAGTCTCTCCAGATTTAAAATAAAAATATTCAAAGGAAGAGGAAACTGCATTCCCACCAGACGCATACAGCAAGCAAAGGGCACAACTGCAGCACCATCCCCCACTTTAAAACCAGCAGCCTCTCTTGTGATCCTTTATCCACAACCCCTCCCCATACACCAAAATACCCACCACACCACCCTTTCCCTGCTCGGTAATGGATACAACGTAACAAGTTACTACACACAGCCTTCCCCTATCAGAGCACCAGATGTGACTAAATAAAGATCAGCTTAGGATCCATTATGTTTGGGGGATTTTGGGGGGGGGGGGGAGGAGATAAAAAACAAAAAAGAAAATTGCCGTGTGCTAGTGAGAAATCACCCCTTTCCCTTACAAAATGAGCCTCCTTGGAAACAGAGGGAAATGCACCCATTTGGGGGTCAAGTAACTTGAAGTCTTTGTATTTTGTAACAAGCCAATGCTATAGCAGCAACGTCAATGTATGTATCTATACACACAAGATTGTGTTGCTGTATGCGATCTGTAACCTAGATCATTGTTTTACCAATCCCCCAAAGAGTGAGCTCTCTTCCTCTCTCTCCACCCCTCATCAAAACAAGGAGGGAACCACACAACAAAGCAGCCCTGCAAAGCTAAAGCTCGCCAGCCAGAAATGGCTCCAGCTAAAAAGCCGCTCCTCTCCCCCTTGACGAAAGGGAACACCCCGGTTTTAGAACAGCTCAATAGATCTAGCAGATGGGAATAATTCCATAACAAGCAGCACACACCCCTGAAACATTTAACTACCCCCCAAACCCACTATTACAATCACATGCGCTTGCCACCATGCCCCTTTCACCCCAAAAATCCAGCTCTTCAGGTTGAAGCAAATTAAATGCATCCCAACGCTTTGGGAAAGTCATTTAGTAGCAGGGCCTTCTGGTTTTGCCCCTTAGCACGTCCAACGTTTACATTAAGTTCCATCATGCCACACAATGTCCCTATAAAAATGCAAACCCTGCAGATTTGTGCTGAAGTTTGAAAAGGATCACGCAGGAAGATTTAAAAACAAACACACACACACTCTCAAAGGTGGGTCCTTTCGCTCCCCTCTTACAACTTTCTATTATGTCACCATGTCACAAATCAGCCCAAATGAATCATCTCATAAAAATAGCAAAAGCCTATGGGATCATAACATTTCATTAAGGGGGGTTGGGGGAGGAGAGAGATGCTTCAACCGACTTTCAGCACCGTTTAACTCTGGCAAGCTAGTTAAAAACAGTCCCTTTCAAAGAACTAAAAGACACAAATCAAGAAGAATCTGGTATGAAAAGGTGATCAGCGTCTCCCAAGGACTAGTAAAATCACACGAAATTAACACATTAATGGAGAAGAGAAGGGGGGAAGGAAAGCAAACCAGTTACACAACGCAGCCTTGCAAACCCCAGAGTTAAAAAAAAACAAAAACCACAACAACAACACATGGCTCTTTACCTGAAAGACAAAACACTTACTAACAACCAAAAGGTTTCTCAACTTGATTCCCCCACACACAACGCTAACATGCCATTTTGACGAAGTTTCTTAGGAATCTGAGGCCGGGAACATTGTAATTCATTCACACACACTCTTTAATTAAAGGGAACACAGAGCAGAAATATAACCCATTTGTATCATAACCAACAACGTAAATGGGAAGGTTTCTTTAAAAAAAAATCTTAGCAACAATCTTATCTTTTCCATTCGTTACAGTTTGGGGATATTCGGGGTGGGGGGAGGGTAGGTGGTTTCGAATAATTGCACAATTTAATCCTTTTTCAAACGTTAATATAAAACGGTTCAATGGATATAGACATAAAACGTACTTACCTGCACAGAAAGTTCCACAAAGAACGGCGAAAGTCAACCACGAAGCAATCATATTCCTTTACTTTGTTTTCCCCCTTGTGTATCCCCCTCTACCCCCAAGGAAAAAAAAAAAAAGATCGGGAGAGCGAAGGGGGTGTTGGAGGAAAACGAGAACCTCTACCAACAAACAAACAAAAAAAAATAAGGCTCCTACAAAATCGAATTTAGTTCCTTCACAGTTGCAACAACGTATCCAGGTCGAGGGGGCACACAACTGCAGCGCCAGGACAGCGAGATCGGTGGCCGTCCGGCTCCCGGCTCCTCCTGCTCCGAGCTTTCCAAGAGTTTTCTTTGCCGGGGCTTTTGTGCAAGGAGAAAAGCGTGCAGCACACCAACAACTCTCGCTCGCTCGCTCCCACCCCCCACCCCAACCCAACCCAGCCCCTTCTGCCTGCCCAGCAGCAGCAGGGACTAGGGACACACACACACACGCGCGCGCACGCACCAACAAAAACAACAAACAAACCACACCACACACGCGCGGTCCCACAGCCGGGCGGCCACCACCAAATGCAAAGCGGGCGGCGGCAGCAGCAAAACTTCGCAGCAGTGTTACCAACCCAGCATCCAGGGAAGCTGCTGAGCAGCGGGAGGCACCAGCCCAGCGGCTGCCGAGGAGGAGGAGGAGGCGGCGGCGGTGGCGGCGGCTGGGAGGCGGCGGGGAGAGGAGGCGACGAGGGAGCGGGCTCCGAGGCGGGCCGTGGCGCGCGGGGCTGGCTGGGGCGAGGGTCCGGCCCGAGGCATCGCTCGCGCTGGCGGGCGCGCGGGGAGCGGGCGGCGGCCGGCGCGGGGCAGGGCGGCGGCAGCGGCTGGCTCTGGAGGGGCCATGTACAAAAAAAAAAAAAAAAAAAAA